GGTAATTTTTCAATTAGTAGAAAAGTTTTTTTTTTTTTTTTTTTTTTTTAACTTTTTCTGCTAATTATAATTCAAATTTGTGAGTAATATCATTTGACTTTTTATTATCATCGGTCATGAGACATTGGTGGTTGCAACAAAAAGTTGATTTTTATAAGCTAATTATTAGGCTTTCTCTGGATACAACTGACTATCGCAAATTGCTGCTAAGATATTCTATTAATTTTAACTTTATTTTTTAAACACTGTGAATGTTCGTAAATTTTTAAATATTAAGCGTAAATAAAAACCACTAATTTTTTCCACTAATTTTGTTCTGAATGAGGCTTTTTATTCCAAGTGATTTTAAAATAATAACAATTTTTTTTTTAATTAAATTTCTACACATTTTAAGCTCTGGAAAATATTAAATCGCAATATTATGCTCTCTAAGTGAAAGTATTCTATGATAGGGCCTTCTTTAAATCTAATTATTTTAATAAATAATTTTTTCAAATAAGCTAAGTTGTTTCGTACATGGTTGTAGGGTAAATCAAAACTAGATGCAATATTTTTTTCGCTATGTCAAATGCATTTCAATAAATTTTATATCATAAATCAAAATAGTTTTATTTTAAATTCAGGTTTTTGCATTATTCGCTTTGTTAGAATAAGGCCAGTATTACACTCTCAAATATCTTTGTCAAGATTTTATTTTATCAAATAACTTGACAGTGTAATATGTGTGATTTATAAAATATTGTATTTAACACTGTCAGCTCTTTATCAAATATCTTTTATAAAAAGATTTTTGATAAAGAAATTTGATAGTGTAATACGGCATATGATTTCGAAGTAGGCGTTTGACATTAAAATTATTTGGTGTATTACAATGCACCTCAAAGCTTTATATACTTACGAAAGATGACTTTAATTTTAACATTTTATACATATATTGGTTGATTTTCGAATTTATGAAGAAAATTAAGCTATATTTCATTAAAGAACTGTATGTCGAAATTGTAAGGTTTTTGACATGTAGCATTTTTGAAAAATTGGTTCATATTTTACCTCTTATTATAAACTGCCCGTCAAATTAAACACCACAGCGATTTTATCAAGTTAGAGTAAATAAAGTTAGAGTAAAATTGATTATCGTTTATTCCAGATGAGTTATCGTAAAAATTTCAAATACGTCCCGAGATATTAGTCTTAGCTATACCCAGAAGTTATAATTCCAGTTAATTTTTTGGCAAAATGGCAGCAACACAAAAATTACATTTCTTTTTTTCACACCGTGTATATCATAGAAAACTAAATCTCATACAAAATTTAGATAAATCAGATCAATCTACGAAAACGATCTTTAAGTATGCTAGAAAAATCAACAAAATTGGTCGATATTTTTCAAAGTTACAACTCGTTGAAAATGAGTACAAAATCGTTGAAAATCGCTGTGGTATTTAATTTGACGGGCAGTTTATTTAAGAATACATTTTTTGTGTAGTGTGCTACACTCAGAGACGGGCAAATACCCGGTAAATACCTGATGCTTTTTATCCGATATATACTCAGTGCGTAAGTACAAGAATGCAAATTAGCAAATTCAATTAAATATACCCACTACTTTATATTATACCCATTACAGTATATTACCGTGATTTACCCCACCGCCCATCACTGGCTGCACCGTTTAACAATTGTATAATCAATAAAAAAATGAACAAGTAGACTAATGATACATGAAATAAGAATTTGACATAGAGAGAAAAAAGTTTTACACGGTGAGACAAATTTAATATTGATTATTGGCAATGATGGGCTTTACTTCTAATATGCGGAGCTCTGTGGAAGTGAACGGACTAAACCTTGCGGTGAATCTGGAGGGAAACCCTTTAGCAACACTGGGAATATTAATCTTCAAGGGAAGAACAGAAGAGGCAGCGGACACTTGCGCGAGTCCAGCCTCCATAAGCGGCACCTGGCCACCATCTCCTCTAGTAAGGGTCGGGAGTCTACCTCTAGACCCAACAGGTTATCGTTTCTTCTATCCGGCTTGGGTCAACTCGGCGCGCGGAGGGCTAGATGACCCTCTGGGAGTAGATGTCAGCGGAGTAGGAGTACGGAGATACCTCAGACTGCTTCACGAAGGATTTGCTCCAGAGGCACCAAAAGCGAAGATAGGTACTCTTCGAAAAAGGGGAGAGTAAAGGAACCAAGAAAGAGCCTAACGCATCTCCACCAAAGGACAAGAAATTGAGCGAGAACCTCTCATATCTGCTCCGACAAGGAGAGAAAAAAAAAACAGGGTGGAAAGCCGTCCAACACTGAGTGGCAAGTAGGGACGTATTACCAGCTTTGCCAGAACTCCAATATAAGTACATCGAGTTGGCGAGTCATCAGCTCGAGGGAGGAGTGCCATGATCAGGTCCTCAAAATAGCAATTGACTTCAAATCCAAGGAGGAAATAGAGAAAGAGGGATATATCCTTTATTAGAGATTCGAGACAAAACTGGTCTAAGGAGAGACCAAGTTAAAGAGGTGGTGAAAATGGAAACAGATCCTCCAGCCTCTATTTCATGGATAGCTCAGCCGGAGACCAGGTCATCGACTGTGAAGGGCACGGAAGGCCGCACCCCAACCGTGAAAGGGTATATCCAAGAAAAGGAAGAATATCTATTAGCCGTCCATACACGCAAGCGATTTTCAAAAAATTTGTTCCGCCGGCGCCGCGGTCTTTAGCTCTCATTAATATCTGTGCATTAGTGGACTATATACCGCGGAGAAATCTCGGATATGTGGCAGTCCAAAGGCATATCTATACTCCGAACGATCCGGTCGGCGGATACGGAATGTCATATCTGGGGCGCTATTCTGTATAGGGCATCGACATTTGTCGGTATTAGTAAGTACCAACAGCTATTGGTACGTTCGGCCAAAGAACGTCGTGTGAATAAGGTGTTAATTGTTGTTGACATAGTTTTAGCTGTCATTAATAGGGAATATAGCCAATTTGTACCGACGACTATCGGTATCTCTACCGCAGGATTAACAAGGGCACGGTAGAGATACCGATCCCAGTCGGTACAAATTTGCAACACATACACACTACTGCCATTACTCGCTGACGAGTATTTGACACGCATCAGAAGATGGTCACGCAAGGCGTTTTCTTTAATGAGCTTTTCTGTGACTGAAAAACCCGATACGTGATGTTATCTGTCTATGCGGTTTTCTTGCATTCTGCATACGTGACCAGCCCATCTTAAGCGGGACTTTGTAATCATGACTTCAATACTCTCGCAGTTAGCTTTTTCAAGGACCGATACGTTTGAGACATGATGGAACCATTTGATTCTTAAGAGTTGTCTAAGATATCTCTGTTGCAACTTGTTTAATGCGTTCATGTGTCGGCGGTACAGCATCCAGGTTTCGCTTCCATATAACATGGTGGGAATTATTATTGCTCGGTAAACTGCAAGTTTCGTTTTTGTGCTCAAGTCATGATTGTAGAAAACCCTGTTTTTTAATTTCCAGAATGCTCTTGAGGCGCTGCTAATCCTGTGCTGAATTTCAGAGTTGATATTGGCGTTTTCCGAAATCAAACTGCCGAGGTAATTGAATTCCGCTACATATTCCAATAGTTCTTCTCCGATTTTTATAGTATTGTTGTGATCTTCCGGGGGAGTGCACATGATTTTAGTTTTATCGATGTTCAGCTTAAGTCCTAAAGCCTCGTATACCCATGTATATGTGTTCAACATTCCTTGCAATTGCTGTAACGTATTTGCAACTACACCTAGAGCACAGTCATTAGCGTATTGAAGTTCTGTGATGAATTTTGTACGTGTTTTTGCCCTGAGTCTTTTTATGTTGACCAGACCGCCGTCGTATCTGTATCTAATGCCCAAACCTCTCTCCTGCAGTTTGATGTCCACTATAATGGAGAGCGCTGCCATGAATATATTGAATAGAAGAGGCGCTAAGATACATCCCTGCCTAACGCCTGTGTTTGTTAGGAAGGGATCGCTCAGTGATCCATGATATGACACTCTTGATTTGTTGTTGTTATGGAGGCTTTTACACACTGTAAGAAATTTGTTGGGTACTCCGAACTTTTTCATAATTGCCCAAAGTGCATCTCTGTTCACAGAGTCGAAAGCTTTTGTTAGATCGACAAAGTTTAGACTGCTGCTCTTTTACTTTTTCCTTTTTCCACAAATTTGCAATATCTGCCATAAGGCCGATCGATAAACTATGACAACAACAATTAACTAAATTTTTACTAGACATTTAAAAATACGTACGGAGAGCTGTCGTAACTTATCGATACCGACGATTGTACAGAATAGCGTCCTTGGACTGCAGGACTGATCGCTTAAAAATCCCTTGCGTGTATGGGGGACTAATGTCAAAGGAGGATGGGAAATACCCTGTCTCCCCAGAACAGGAAAATCCCCATGTATGATGAGTTATAACTCAATCGATCTTTAAGGTCGCGGTGATTAACCTCCCTCCCACTCATTCTACATTTTACAATATTTTCAATATTAGAGGTCGAGATTAGCATAGTAGTATTAAGTATTATTAATCTAAAGTGTAAAAATGATTAATATAATTGATTACTTAATATGATGACTAAATTAACTAATGAACTTGATTAATATCGAATAATTAATATTGAAGGCAAAGAATGGAATTCTTATATTCATTAGAGAATTGTTTAAAAGGCATAGCTTTTATAAATACCTCATGATGACATCAGTGCCAATAAACTTTAACATTCGAATATCTTCAGACGGTACTTTAACCAATTTTTTTAAGTTCTAGCGAACAAAACAAGACATTCGTTGTTTGTTCATAAACAGCTAAGAACTATTTAATATTCAATCTTACCGGTTTTTCCTAATCGTTTATATTAAAATTAGCCTTAAATATATTTGGTTTGAACTGCTTTAAGGAGGCTAACGAACTACAAATATATATTTGTCTAACGATTTTTAGAAAAAAAACCTTTTTGATATTCAATTTTTATTTAAAAAAAAGTACGGCCAAATATAATATTTACAATATTACCTTAAACTACGGAATAATTAACTGTATTGCCAACGGACGTATTTTCTGATATAACAATTAATATACTAAAATCTTAATCAATTAAATTACATAAAACATACATAAATATATATTTTATTTAGCACTTGTAATGATCACATCTAAATAATTTGTACAAAAACAAGTTAGAACTATATTAGTATTATTTGTTTAAAACAATATAAAGATATTCGTTCTTAACGACTACGTGGTAACTTAAAAGGTAAGATGATTTCTTATTCTAAAACCTAATGTAATACAAATGGAATATGGCTAATGTTTGTTTTAACAGTTTCTAATCCAAAAAATAATTAGAAATATTGCTTATAATATTGCTTTTTTGTGATGACAATAAAGAGTATTTAAAAAAAAATGACAAGAAAAAAGTTGACGTTCAAAGCATTGTTTATCTACAATAAGCAATAACTTGAAAAATAAATATTTTTATAGAGACATTATGCTGGTCAACTAGTCAATAGTTATTTTTTTTGTTTCAACGATTAACAATAATATGTTTAATTAAAAAAAATTGATAAACTATGCTTTCGATTTTAAATAACAAAGAATACTGTTCATTTCGAGATGGCTAGTGTGATGTAGATGAAAACCTTTATTCGATGAACACATTATTCGATTTAACAAAAAGGAAAAAAATATTTTCCTCCAAATAATCGTCCATTTTCGATAAAATTCGAACGTTATAATACTTCCTGCTCATATATATCCTTTCCACCTTTAATTTGGATAAAACTTTAAAAAATCGTTCACTCACAGAACATCTAACATTTTTTTGGTATAAATTAACTTAAAAAACTCGTCTAACAATTTTGATTATGATTCAGAGTGTCCTTGCAAATCTCTGCCATTGTGAATCTTGATGACTTCGTCCTCTTCACTTTGAATGGCGTTAGCCACCAGCACGTTAAGAATATGCCTAAAATCTGTAAAAAATTGTGTGGTTTTTAGTCTTTTAATCTATGAGTTAGGTAGGTGGTGGTTTATGCAAGGTATTTGATTGAATTTGAGTTTTGTTTGTTTTTTTTGGTGGGGGAGATTCTAAATTGCTTGTTATTCCTCCTCCCTACACAGGCTGGCCAACCAACAAGTTAAGAAGATGCCCAGAACCTGAAAAGAACCAAATTTTTGATAAATAGCAGCTCTCGGATTTCGTTCAGCCCCTGAAAACCACCACCTGTAAAGAAATGTCGTTAAGAGAAGGAAATAAATAGCATTAGAAAGCTGATTAGAAGCGTATTTACATATTTACAAAAAATCAACTTTACAAAAAATCGAAGGTCCCAAAGGAAAAAACACAGTAACTCAATTTTAGCAAAAATTGAGAAAGATGCATTTTTAATAGTTTTTAGTTGCCTTACTTTATTTTTAGATATTAGGTTACGAAAACGAATAAATCACATACAGGGTGGCCCATCGAAAACGTTCCGCAAGACATAACGGCCAGGGTATTTTTTCTTCATAAAATCCAAAAACACGTCAATTTTGTTTGTGAGGGGGACAACTTTTGCTCCAAAAATGATTGCAAAATCTTCAACCCTCTAAGCGAGGGTGTCATCCCCCAACTTTTTTCAAATGGGAAGGGGGTCAAGTGGCGCCGCAATGAAAATAGCTTTCTATTCTCTATATTTCCCCGCTTCGTTTTTGAAAATCGGTCGAGTCATTGAGAAAATATGAAGAATTGAAATTTGAAAAGTTTATTTAAAGATTTATCAGAGTAAATGATAAGGATAAATTCCTTCAACCAATTTGCAGTTTTTTCTTATTATTTCTAGATGTTTACGGATTTTTTCACTTGCCACAAGGTTGAACGATCAGGTGCGGTAGTTGCTAGATAGCTGTTCTGTGACTTGTGCGTTGAAGTTGTTCTCAATATCGTTAAACTGGCCCACAATAGAATTTACAAAAATACCAGCCCACACGTTCAATTTCTGAGGGTTTTGTGTGTGCACCTCGTGAAAACCCCTCGGGTTGTCCTCAGCCCAGTACCGAGAGTTGTGCCGATTAACTACACCGTTCAAAAAGAAAGTACACTCATCCGAAAAACACACATTACATAGGAAATTATTATCATTCGCCACTCGTTCACTCATAGTTTCACAAAATTGCAAGCGACGATCAAAATCGTCTTCGTTGAGTTCTTTTTTGTACCAACTGAATTTTGTACGGGTGGAACTTGTGTTTTTTTTAATATCCCTTGGACACTTGTACGATTCACGCCAGCCTCATTGGCTAATTTTCTTGTACTCAGCGTACTATCCATGGCAACTTGGCCCAATACGAATACCTCCATAGCTTCATTTACTACAGGATTTTCCCTCTGCCTCTTTTTATTCGTAACGGAACCAGTTTCGCGAAATTTTGCTACTACGAACATTTCAAATTTCAATCCTTCATATTTTCTGAATGACTCAACCGATTTTCAAAAACGAAGCGGGGAAATATAGATAATAGAAAGCTCTTTTCATTGCGGCGCCACTTGACCCCCCTTCCCATTTGAAAAAAGTTGGGGGGTGTCCCCGCTTAGAGGGTTGAAGATTTTGCAATCATTTTTGGGGAAAAAGTTGTCCCCCTCACAAACAAAATTGACGTGTTTTTGAATTTTCTGAAAAAAAATTACCCTGGCCGTTATGGCTTGCGGAACGTTTTCGATGGACCACCCTGTATGTACATTTATTAATAAGTGGTATATGTCTTATGGTGCAGACAAGGTTTTGTAATAGTATATTTTGAAATGAGATGTGATAAGAAATTTTAAAAAGATACAATAGGTAACTTATTTTACAAAAAAAGCTTTCGAAAAAATACTGCTAAAATATCTGCTCTTAATCACTGATTTAAGACATATATTTTCTAATCACTGAAAGGATAGTAACAATAGTTCTCTTACTATGTTTATTTAATAGTAATTATTATTATGAAAACTTTCCCTGAATATGAAAGAAATATTCATATTTGACGATTTGTTTTTATAAAAGTTCGGTAAAAAGTCTCGATAAAAAATGAACGTAAACTTTAACACCCATCAATGATAAAATAGTAAAAAACCGTTATATACAGGGTGGTTCGAATTGTATTAGGGGAACTTCTGCAGTAAATTCTGCATATAAAAATAGGTAAAAAGTTCGTATGAATTTATGTCCTAAATGCTTCGTTTCGGAGATACAGGGTGTAAAAGTTTCATTTTTATTTCGATTTTTCCAAATAATTTCTGAACTTATATCGATATTTGGATGAAAATTGGTGTGTGGGTGTTTTTATATGAGAAATTTGATCCTGATGTTTTTTGATCGACATATGATTGAACGACATATTATGATCGACATATTTTTAACTGGTTTGAACGGTAATAACATTTCGTCCGTACCTGTATAAAACTACTGAGTAGTTATTATGTTCCTGTTATGTACATCATTGAATTAAACTTGTTGGGCAGTGTGAATAAACATTTAGTAGAAGCTAAAACTTACATTTTCCTAGCAAATGCTTAATTTGCAGTGAATAAAAATAAGTATTAGCTTTTTCTAAATATGCAATTAGCAAAAGCTAAAAGTTCTCCCAGACACCCATTTTCATCCAAATATTGACGTTACTTCTACACCCTGTATCTCCGGAACTAAGTATTTTAGGACATACATTTATGCAAATTTTTTTATTTATTTTTATCTGCAGAATATGCTGCCGAAGTTTCCGGAATACAGTTCGGACTACCCTGTATTATAAAATATTATCTACAAAGATAGAGTAAAATTATCTATTTAATAACTTTTGCTGTAGGCATACAATATGGTCATAAGATATTAAACAAGTTAGTACTTTCATCACTCTGTATGTTAAATGGTAATTCAAATAAACAACAAATGAACTTTTGTTTCGCAATGTGAATAGCCTACCAAGCCCACAAAAATGTAGGCACGGAAGGGAAAGTGGTCTACTAGATACAGTATCAACGACTACTCTCTAAATAAAGCTTTAAAATTTGATAGATAAACACACGTGGCCATGAGAATTGTTTACCATCATCACGAAGCGAAAATTCTAAACAGGAGTATAATAATTATTAGTATTCCGTCTTTAAAAATGACTATTTGTTTATTTCGTGACGCGCTTTTAGAGCGTTAACAAATCACGATGTGCTAAAATGATTCATTCATTTTTAATATTTATAATTAACGAAATAATGTTATATCTCATAATATCTCACTTCGCGGCTGTCCCACGTAATATCACAGTAACTGATATTTTTTCCAAAACTAAGAAATTTATTACGCAACTACAACACAGTATCTACATGAGAAAAATCAATGAAAAAGATCACATTAAGTGCAACAGTTACTACCCATAGAGAAACACAGTAATCGTAATGCTATTACCACCGATTAACACATATTTATCAGTAAGATGGAGAAACTAAATAAAACAGGGATATATTCGGTCCCTTAAGGGTCCCTTTAAATATCCTGTTTAAACGGACCGATTACAAAGCGCATGCGTATGATGAATCGCTACCACTGATCGCTACAAAAAAGATGTGCCACAGATTAGGTATTTCAATTGAACATACATTTTTTACAAATTAAGATCTACTAGCTATCTCTATGCTAGATAGACATGCAAAATTTGAACAGTTTTGGACAAGCCGATTTTACATAATTTAAGAAAAAAATTCAGGCTGTTCAGCATACGCGCACTCGAAATCGAACCATTTTATGAATTAGCTACAAGCAAAATCTTTTAGGAAGAACGCATTTTTCTGAGAAAGTTAAAAATATAAAAAAAAATTCACTTGTAAAAACGACCTGGGTACGACCCCGGGACCTACTATTATGCAGTATGATGAATTGTCAATATTAATTGACATCTAAACTCTGTTTTAAAATAAATTTTCAAGAAATGATCATGTATGCATATATATTAACATAATAATCGTTTGATAAGTTTTATTTTTTTATGCAACAGTAAATATTCAACTGAAATAATGTCTACGGCAAGTAATATTCCATCGTTAATTTCCTATTATGTGGTTTGGTTCTAAATATATATAATGAGTTCTTTGTCTCTCTACAATAAAATACACTTAATCGATATTAAAAAGCATATATAACTAAGTAATAGGTTTACGTGAGCATTTAAATAGTTGTTGCTAATAGATTGGTTGCTTAGTAGTTGTAGTTGCTTATAAATAGTCAAACAATTACATATTTTATCAATGAATTTCGTTTTTAGAATTTCTTCAATTAGCCTATTTTTCTATAGTTTTTAATTTTCTCTTAAGGGTATAATTAAACATTATTTATATAAAATATGGTACTTTTTATTTCTGTTTGTATTAATTTAAATTACTTTAAAACTGGTTTTATTTAATTTTCTATCTGATTTTAATATAAAAATAAATTGACTAGTTTTGATTATCGATATAGCTGATGTTTTTCCGTAGGTCTTATATAGAAAATCGAAATCATTTTCTGATACAAAAAATGGAATATTTACAAGTATTCTTCAATTTTTTTTAGCACAAAGTTACAAGCGAGGAAGAACATGTGTTGTCAGGGGAGGATGGGAAATACCCTATCCCCCATAAAACAGAAAAATCCCCATGTATGATGAGTTCTAACTCAAGAATGGGAAACACAATAGATCTTTAAGGTCGCGGTGATTAAATTATTCTACATTCTACAAGCGTAGATAAAACAAAATAACTTATTGGATATAAAAACAGTTTTAGGATTATAAGAACCCATTTTTATTATATAGTATCTACCCATTTAGGAATAATTTTGAAAAAAAAGTTAGGTTCTAGCGTATAAGCAAGGCACTGACTTGTTAAACAAATAATAGCAATAATCGTTAGTGACGTGCAAGGAAAAATATCAATTTAGCTACAAAATCAAATTTTAAGTAGAATTTAAATTGTCTGTACCTCTACGAATGCGATTCCAACTCCAACATATACCAGAACGGTAGTACTGGCATGGATTTTCTCAACCAAAGTGTCGTAGCAACCGACTTGATGGTATACGGCGGTGTCTCCCCAACAGAACTTGTCCAAGCAGCAAGAAATTGGTCTGATTTTGTCGGGCCAATCTTTTGGACCATCAACACCACAACATTTAAACTAAAAATGAAACATGCATACTTAGAAATAACATTATTTATTTATATAAAAAAGTAAGATTATTTGAATTTTCTTACACCCTTTTTCAGAAAACTAAAGTATTTACTGATCCTAGGTATCAGGTATCATAATATTATAAATGTGTAGGGTATTTCCATGTTATTGAGTTCATTTATGGATAAAGTACTCAAATAACTCACGATTTATCACATGTACTTTTTTTAATTAAGTTTTCTTGTTGTTTTGGTTCTTCTGTAATTATTTTGGAACAGGCTGAGATATTGGTATAATTATACGAGTAGATTACAGTTCTTATACAGGGTGTGCGTGCATTAGAAGTTTCTAGAGAACTACAATATCTAGACCGGAGATTTTTTACATTGGGTTTTTGGTGGCTGTGGTAATCACTAAATTTGACGTCTAGGCTGTACAATTTTTTTTGAAAAGCAATTTTTTTCCTCCACAAGTTTAAATATGTTTTTTGTCAAAAACGGTTAACGTTAGATATACAGGGTGAGTTTCGTACGATGTTCTCTAAGGGTATCTAGGAAACTACTGAAGATAGAGAGTCGGTTAAATGGGGAAAGAATTGCAGTTTTGTGGGGTCATAAATATGCGCCTTTCAGATTTTTGAAAAAGTTCATGGTTTACTAGATATTTCGAAAAAAACAAATTTTGGCTATTTTAAAAATTGTCCCTAATTCCATTATAATCTATTTCAGACAAAAAAATTTCAGATAAAAGTTGTAGATAATCACATCCTTAATGAAACTGTGTCCTCCGTTTTTTTCTAAAGCCTGTCATTTTTGGGATGACACAAACATATGTTTTTTTAAATGGAAATCATCGCTGGCCATGACATCATAAAAAGCGCTATTTTTTAAGCTTTTCAGCGATATAAGATATAATATGTTTTTTTTGAAAAATTACTGAGTTATAGCCAATTCTTATAATTTTTAAACAATTTCACTTAGTTAGCTATGAAAACAAGTTTAATCATATTTGCTCTCAGAAATGTAAAGCTGTCACATCTAAACTTTGTAAATTAAAATAAACAAAAATTGTAAATATGAATTTTTTAAATGAAGAAAAGCGTGTAGGATTATTGGTTCAACTTTTCTTGGCCATACACTTTGGCCATACATTTTCGAGAATACGTTGACCGGTGAATGTTACGTTTTTTACAGAACGGGATTTAAGACATGTTTGAAAAGCTAAATTTATTTATAACCAATTCTTATCTTTCTAGACTAATTTCACTTAGATTGCATGGTATTCTTCTTCTGTGTGGGTTCGATTCCCACACCCGGCATTTCATCAGCCGACTATTTTTATTAAAATAAAAATAGTTTGGGTACCTAGGTCGACTCAGCCTTAAATGAGTACTTGGGATTCACAATCCTGAGGTAATAATAGGCGGTTGAAGCGTAGTGCTAGCCATATTACCTTCTGTGTATACCGAACGGCTCTAGTATAGCAAGCTGTACCTTGCTACTCCCAAGGCGTCAAACGCTATATACGGGAGCTATTATTATTATTATATTCTTCTTCTGTTATGATTTATAACTTATAAAAAGTCAGAATATATTATTAAACGGTTCTTTACAATTTACGTTACACAAACTAACTTAACGAAATATTATCACTACATACATTTTAAGTTATTTTAGAAAATATTCAAAAAAAACCGCTATTGTTTTGAGTTGCATCTTTAAAAGTGAATTACTACGTATTCTCACAGAAGGACCGATTTGGTTTGGTTTGGTACTTAATTAAACTTCTCTCGTACCGCCACAACGAGGGCCTCTCTTAATTTATAAGTTTTTTTGTAAACCTTATTGCTAACCATACCGCATAAAAAAAAATCTAAAATGGATAGGTCAGGTGATCGAGGAGGCCCATGCAATTGGTCCACCTCTTCCTATCCCTGAGTTTGCATTATTATGATATAAATAATTTTTAACATTTTTTTCATTATGGAGGGGGCATTATAATGAAAGTCATGTTGCAACGACTCTATTGATGCGCGAGTATTTACATGCTCTTCTTCACTTGAAAAATTCATATTTACAATTTTTGTTTATTTTAATTTACAAAGTTTGCATGTGACAGCTTCACATTTCTGAGAGCAACGGCGCGGCGCGGCGATTGAACTTGTTTCCATGGCTAACTAAGTGAAATTGTTTAAAAATGATAAGAATTGGCTATAACTCAGTAACATATTATAGCTTATATCTTTAAAAAGCTTAAAAAATGGCGCTTTGTATGAAGTCATGACCAACGATGGTTTCCATTTAAAAAAACATATGTTTGTGAATGTCTCAAAAATGACAGGTTTTAGAAAAAAACGGAGGACACAATCTCATAAGGATGTGATTAGCTACAACTTTTATCTGAAAACTTTTGTCTAAAATAGATTATAAAGGAATTAGAGACAATTTTTAAAATAGCCGAAATTTGTTTTTTTCGAAATATCTAGTAAGCCATGAACTTTTTCAAAAATCTGAAAGGCGCATATTTATGACCCCACAAAACTGCAATTCTTTCCCCATTTAACCGATTCTCTATCTCCAGTAGTTTCCGAGATACCCATAGAGAACATCGTAGGAAACTAAGAAAAACAGACTACCCAACTACTGCCAACACAGGAAGTTAAATACCTGGGAATAACCCTGGACAGTAAACTCCTGTGGAACAGGCATATTAAGAACACTACCAGCAAAGCCATAAAGGCTCTCATGATATGCAGAAGACTGGCCGGAAATAGATGGGGCTGCTCCCCTAACATTTTGCGCTGGATGTATACCATGATAGTAAGACCCATGATTACTTATGGAGCAGTTGCCTGGTACACAAAACAAGAGCAACGGACGGCAAGGCTAAACCTATGCAAAGTCCGGAGATGCGCATGCGTTCGCATCACATGCGTTTGCATCACAGGAGCCATGAGAACCTGTCCAACAGCAGCAATGGAGGTCATTCTAGATCTAACACCACTGCACATTGTCATTGGTAGATATGCCAATGCGACAATGATTAGAATGGTCACTAACGGAATTAGTACTGGGAGAATTGTCAGATCAGGGGCTTGGAACACCCTCATAAAGGAAATACCACTCCTGCAACTCCCAGTGGGCGATATGCCAAGAACGTACAACTTTGAGAAACATCTCAATGTAGTATTGAGCAATAAAAAGGATTGGAAAAGCGAAACGCTTGTCCAGCAGTTAAAAGACCATACCATAACTTGGTATACTGATGCTTCCAAAACCAATACGGGAACAGGGATCGGAGTGTTTGGGCCGAGAGCTAAATACTCCGAACCAATGGGCACTTACCCTAGTATCCTACAGGCGAAATCTACTCTATCGAAAGATGCGTACAACTTATCTTAGATAGGAACTATCGGAAACAAGAAATAGCCATCTTGTCTGATAGTCAAGCAGCGTTAAAAGCGATCAACTCAGTATCAATCAATTCGAAATTGGTCAAAGAATGCATTAGAAGCTGAATAAATTAGGCAAAAGAAAACAAAGTCCTCCTATTCTGGGTGCCTGCTCACCAAGGGATGAGAAGGCAATGAAAAAAGCAAATAATCTAGCTAGGAAAGGAGCGAACACTCCACTAACTGGACCAGAACCGTTCTGCTTTTCAAGTGGTAACCAACTCAAGGCGGAACTCAAGAACTTGGAAGATTCCATCCGCAACCTGGAATGGAAATCTTGCAACGGTCTAAGATACTCGAAGAAGTTTCTGAGGGCTTATGATCAAGAAAAATCACAGATCTTCCTGGGTTTAAGTAAGAACAATCTTCGGATTGTCACGGGGTTTTTAACAGGACACTGCCTCCTCAATGAACACCTCAGTAGATTGAAACTAAGAAGAAACGGCGAATGCAGATTCTGTGGGGAAGATGGGGAAACACCAGTACACCTCATCACTGAGTGCGCCGAGACGACAACCATTCGTGCCATGAATTTTGGTACGACTGATATTGGAGATGGAGGACTACCCTCTATAAAACCGTCGATAGATACTGGCTTTTGTCAAAGCCCTGACTGTATGATGAGTTATGACTCAAGAAAGGGGGACACAATGGATCTGTAAGGTCGCAGTGATTAACCCCCCTCCCACTCATTCTTCTAAATCGTAGGAAACTCACCCTGTAGAGTATTTAATATAAAAATTAATAAAATTTTATAGAGAACTTAAATATATAACAAAAAATAGGGGTACCCATTTAAAATAAGCAAGTTGCTGTCAACTTGTAGTTCTCTAGAAACTTCTACAACTAAAAACTTCTCTCAAAACTTCTTCAACTTATTTATAAAAGTACCGTATGATTGAAAAAAAAAACTGCGGCGATGGCTATGAAATGAAGATCGCTGTCATTTTATATGTAAAATCATATGGTTGTCATCGATGTTCATTTCCAAGCTAACTGGACATCGTTTTTCCGATCATACGGTATATTTCTCTGTTTCCAATCTGTTAATACATAATCAAAATAAATCGATAGAATATAATATTTCCCTAAAAATACTTACTTGTCTTTGTAAGACGTCCCAGTAGTTCTTGTCTCGACCATCAATAGCATCGTATGCGGTACCATAAGTACCTCCTGCTCCGACATTCTGAAATTACAATTTATTTATATTTACATCTTTAATAATTTTAGATTCGTCCAATGAAGCACATGCACGTATAGCAAATTATCAAGCTTTTACTGATTATGTATTTGAAGTCTTCCAAATTTATTATCTTTAGTGAATATGTGGGCATTATTCAAAGTAAAGAGAATATGTAAATTTAGTTATGACCCTTAAGCAATACGGAAAAGATTTGCCAACAATAAACAGGTGTTTTTTGGCGTTAGTATGGACACTTTGAAAATAAAAAAAAATCTGTGAAGAGCAAATTAATAAAGACTTCTAATGAAGATTTTAACAAATTTGTAGGGTGTTAGAATGTTATTTTGTGTCACTTTTAATATTTTTTAACTTTTTACATGATTTTTTAGCAAGTTTTGTGATTTTTTAAGCAATTTGTAGCTAAATTATTTGACTTTTTAGTATCTCTTTCTAAATTGAAAATGAATTTGAAAGTTACCACCTGTCAATTATACGAGGGAAAACAAAATATTGATATTTTGGTGAAAGTTTGAAACACCCTGTAGAGTACGTTAAAAAAGCAAGGATTTTATCATCAAAGAATCATTTTATCATCTAGATGTATATTTTCTCTATAGTTTGTTTCTTGATTCATCACAATAGGTTTATTTTTTTTGGAGATATTAGCTTTTGAAGAAGATACTAAAATGTTTTCGTATTTTTTACATTTAAACCATGCTTTTGCTTTTGGTCCTAGTCAACAGACTTATAAAATAGTGGTTATGATTTATGTAAAATGTCACTGTTTTTGAAAAATCATATTATTATTGTCTGTTGGGCAGTTTTGGTTTTAAGTTCAAAAGTGGATCTCTACCATGATCAATTAAAGCAACAATAGCCGGTACTTTAGAACTTAAAATCATCTCTACTAGAGTGAATGTCAATAATAATATGCCATTTTAATCACAGTGATATTACAAAAACAATAAACACTATTTTATAAGTATGTTGATTAGGACCCAAAATCAATGCTAAAATTGCGTTAAATTCGTCACTGTCTTATTCAAAAGTGAATATTTCCAAGAAACATAAAGCTATTGAGAAAAGACGTACTTAGATGATAAAATGATTTTTAAATTGCTTTCTTTCTCTATTATCAACTTTTTCTTTCTCTGTTATCAACATTTTGTTTTCAAAAAACAAAAAACAAACCATTGAGGAAAGATATAGAGAGAGTAATTTTTAAATTCCTTGCTTTGTTCACGTACTCTACAGGGTGTTGCAAACTTTCACTTAAATATTAACATTTTGTTTTCCCTCGTATAATTGACAGATGGAAACTTTCATTTTTAATTTAGAAAAGGGCAAAAAAAGTCTAATAATTTAGCTACAAATTGCTTAAAAAATATTCAAAATCGGCCAATTTGAAAATATTCAATTAATTGAACTTTAAAATACATCAAAATTTTAATGTGCCCGTTTTTCGTGACGGTAAGTGTATTAGATAGCACCTTTTTTGAATTAAAAATATCATTATATCACAAATGGCCTTCCTTTTTAACTACATTTTTTAAATTTGATAAAATAATTAATTAATTATATGATCATTTGTAGTGGCGGCTCGTAAATTCTGAAGGAGGCTGAGGTGGGCAAAGTCTCCATAAGAATAAATTTACCTGTTAATTTTAGGATATAAAGTCTATCTTTCTTGTATTCATGCTTAAAATACTCGTACATATAATTATTATTTGACTTTATAAAGTGTAGTTAACGTAAAAATGTCAATTATATATTTATCTTTGCGATTGAGAGACTATGTGCTCCTGTGCCTCTTTAGGACCACACCCAACTAAACATTTGTAAAATTATTAAAAAGAAAGGGCATATGTATTTCTTTAAAATGAGTAAAAAATGTGTCATACCGTAACCACCGTAATAACTAGGGCGGACAGCTGTGACGTAAAAATCTTGTGACGTCACCAACTTGAGGCGCAATTTTATTTAGCAGCGTTGATAATTACCCGATAAAAGTGGATCTTTTTTCACTCACCAGATAGATTTCGAAGTTTTAAACTGTCTTTTTCCGAGTTATTAAAAATATTATAGTATATAAAAATAGTTTTAATAGAATACGGAAAAAATCATACCAGTCAATAAATGTTTTTAATAAAGGAATATTTTAAGTTCACAATAGTGTATAATATGAGAAAAAAACAATAAAAAAATAAATATTTTTTATAATATATATTATGCATTTTATCGATATTTTACGCCCCCTACACCTACGGCGCCTGTCGTAGCACGTAGCGGAGTGGTATTGCCGCAGTTGACAGTCATCGATTTATCGGTAGGTGTGCGGCCGTGGTAAGTGGTAATTATAATCGATAATACAAGGGTAAAAAAAGTTATAAATCTGTAAAAAGAGGTGTATAAACTATAAAGTGATTATAAGTGTGTGCAATTATACAGTTTAAAAGGTATAATGCCTTGGGTTTCCAAAAGATGAAATTACTAATATAGTTTTATTTGGATATATAATTTTTAACAAAGTTTTGCAAAGCCATGTTTTTCAAAATTCACAATAAAAAATATTTTTATCAAAAATATCTTTGGATTACATTAAAAGTAATAACACCATTATTAAAATTTCCGCAATGTACTATTTATAATGCTAAGTTATTGTAAAAATTGTCATAAATTCTATTAGAAATACACGTCTGAAAAACTACTGTTGTTAAAAAATAATGATAGACTTGGAAAAGGAAATAAAAGAAACTCAGACACACTTAGAGCATAAATAAATACAATGACGATGGATAATATGAGATGGGATATCAATCTGATGTTTTTTTGAATTTTATGTTTAATTATTATTTATTAAAAATTCGGTGCAATTAAAGTTTATATCCATTATATACGTATAAAGTGTATCAAATGCAATCAAAGTTTAGGCCTCCAGTTGATGACGTCACGAATAAGCTGTCCGGCCTTGTTATTACGATGGTTACGGTCATACACTTCTAATACGGTATCTCATTTAAAACATATAGTTTATGACAGTAGCATGGATAGCCAATGCCATTTTTGGAAAAATTCATTAATTTTTTTAATGAATGTTGTTGCTCAAAAATTATTTTAGCTTGTTATTTAGCCTGTTAAAAGCGACACAAAATAAAATACACTAGTCCTTATACAGGATGAGTTTTAAATAAGTGCAAACATTCTCAAGGGTGCTATATTTCGACCTCAGGGACACGTCTATGAGGTTTTTTCGCAAAAATTGTTAAAAATCCGGTATTTTATTTTAAATGTTCCTGTATGTATATTTTGGAAACGTTTTTATAACTAAGTTCGCCGCAAGTTTTCACAAGTTTTAATTTGTTAAGCTCTGATATTATACCATGGTTACGGTACTAAAAGGGAGGTAAATACAGAAAAGATCCGGTGGCTCTCAAACTTTTTTCAAACTAAATAATTTGTTTTTAAATGTACAAACTAGTAGTGGGAACTATCGAATGAATACTATCGAAACATTCGATAGTTGCAATTCATTCGAATAATTCGATAGTTAGTAAGAAAACATTCGTTGAAAACTATTCGAATAAAAATTATCGAATAGATCCGTCATCTGCCTTGAAATATTGTATTCTAGTAATTCGGCAGCAAAAACCATTCATTTATAAAATTCATTCATTTATGAAATTCATTTACTCGTCAGGATCGATTATAATAAAATATTAACTGAATTTTAGTTGTCGCCCGGCGACGTAGGTTTCTTTCCGAGAAACCCGACAGCGGTCGGTGGCAATGCTATGAAAGAAGCGGGCATCTTTAATTTTTTGCGGAGTCAGATATAAATAAGGACACATTATTTTTTTTATTGAGGTGCTAGTATTTACACAGAAAATACATTATGAAGGGCGCTGTTGCCATATTTTGGTATTAGTTGATATTAGCAAAGAATATTATTGTTTGGCTTTAGTTAGTTAGGGTTAGTATGTCTATATATTCTGCATTTTTTTTTATTAATATTCTGTTGTTACACTGCAATAATACTTGTTATTTTGGATGTAGGAAAATGATTTTAATGTTTTTAAACAAAGACTGGTTTAATAAATAATAATAACAGTAACAATTTGTTATACCTATTAACAACAAAATTTAAAATCATTTAATATAAATATTTTTTTAAGTAGTAGCAAAATATAAACAACAAATTAGATGTCAAAATTATTTATATTAGATCCTATTTAAAAATAATATAGTCTCTAAATTTTTGTGTGTGGCAACGTTGGTTTATTAAATAATAATAATTACAGAACTAATTTGTTATATTAAGAACAAATTTTAAAATCATGAAATATAAACATTTATTAATTTTCTAAGCATGCAGTGTAATGGAAGGAAAATATAAATAAAAAATTAGAAATCAAAATTATTTATATTAGGTGCTTTATATTACTATTTAAAAATTATATTTACTTTTACTGGCATTTACTTTCAAAAATAAATGAAATATTTCTTCGCAAAAAACTACATGTAAGAGAATTAGCATAAACAAAATACAAACATCGTTAACTTTTTTTTTAAATTGGCACGTGTAAAACTTTCATTTTAATTTTCTCACCACATAGTTTGAGTTCGATAACCATTTACTTAACCACATTACTTAAATATGATATTAAGTTCAACTAATTCATATTATTAAAACATCTAAAATACAAATATGTATTTTTAAAATTAATTGTAAGTTCATCTCATCTCATTAAAAAATAGCCATATACCATATAAAATTAAATAATTGAAAGATCGGACTACGGAAAACCACACAAATTTTCGGAAAAATTTTGACCACCTGCACATGCACACAATCGTCATTAAATAAAATTAAAAAATAACTACTATTTTAGTATTTTAACTATTTTAATAAACGCAAAAATAGCACAGTATTTATACGGCGAAGTTATAAAAATTTGGAAGAACTAATAATGCACTGACGCATACAAAAATCAAACGAATACCAAATTTCATTTATCAAAAGCATTCGATAGTCGTGGCTCAACGATAACCATTTAGTCGCACGGCGAGGTTGTCACATATGCTTTAGTATACAAATGAATGAATGATTTTATTCGAATAAAACTATTCGATAGTTGAAATCATTCATTCATTAACCATTCGATAGTCTAATTCATTCGATAGTTCCCATCGCTAGTACAAACATAAATAACTCGGTTATTTCGGAGATTTCGGAAATCTAGCAGCCCCGAAAATATTTACCCGTATTTAAAACTCACTCTGTAACTCCAAAAAAATAATCTACTATTATTCGATTAATTCCGGTATTATTACAGACTTTCTTTTTTTTTCTTTTTCATTATCAGGCCTGTACGTAGTTTTAGTAATCAATCATTTTTATAAATGTAAATTTCTATTTTTTATTGCTTATTGCATAACCTATCATGTATTCTTATTTAATTAAAAAATAATATTAATTATTCTGAAAGCTTGACATTTGGAACAATAATTTGTATCCAATAAGGCTCACTACAAAATACTTAATTATTTTTCTATTTAGTTAGTTGGTCAAGTCTAAATTTTGAAATACATTCTTAATACAGACAGCAAAAAACACAAGTACATAATCTTTACATATGTATATCATCTGATATGTACGTATATGTACTTACACGGTCCCTGCTTACCGAAACGTCGTAATAGTTATTATCTCCTCTAACTCCTCTAGAAGATAACACGTGATGTAGGGATTCCGAGAGAGATTCTTTGAAGGCTACTTTGTAGTCTGTCTTGAATACAGCAGCGCATATACCAACTGTCAGTTCCATGATGAAGATGGCGACTAGAAGGCCAGCAAACTGAAAAAAAAACAATATTTTAGCATTGAATTATCAAGAGACAAGAAAGATTGTGTAAATTTTGGACACTTGAGGATACAGTCATGATCATTTTATTTATTAACAAAAACTTTTAGTTACGTCATCGAGGGCGCGATTTTTAAATTAATTGTTACCAACCAATGACATATTCGGCGCCGCGCTTACTAAGTGGAATTTAAATTTCCCGCTGGGGATTAAGTTGGCAGCTCTGCTGTAAAAAATGCCAAGTTGCCGCATTTATATATTTATTTATTTCCTGACATTGTCATTCGTTTTGACACTTGAGTTTTTTATATTATGAGTTTTTAGTTTAAATAGTGTTGTGACACTTTAACCTTAAAAATGTTTACTAAGACCTCGCAGTCAAACATTGTTCTTTTAAGAACCTCTTTTAGTGCGAAGTGTACAAGATATCTTAATTGCCGTAAAAAACACATCGCAACTTTATTACAATATTTTGAACGGGAAAGCGGTAGTAATGGACCTTTATGTCCCTTAAGCACTGTTAAAGAGGTGAGTTTTGTCGATGTAAATAATAACTATTTATACAGGGTGAGTTTCCTCCGATGTTCTCTATGGGTATCTCGGAAACTACTGGAGATAGAGAGTCGGTTAAATGGGGAAAGAATTCCAGTTTTGTGGGGTTATAAATATGCTCCTTTCAGATTTTTGAAAAAGTTCATGGCTTACTAGATATTTCGAAAAAAACAAATTTCGGCTATTTCGAAAATTGTCCCTAATTCCATTATAATCTATTTTAGACAAAAAAGTTTTCAGATAAAAGTTATAGATAATCACATCTTTAATGAGATTGTGTCCTCCGTTTTTTTCTAAAGCCTGTCATTTTTGACATATAACACAAACATATGTTTTTTTAAATGGAAACCATAGTTGGCCATGACTTTAAGCCATTTTTTAAGCTATTCAGCGATATAAGCTCTAATATGTTTTCTTCGAAAAATTACTGAGTTATAGCCAATTCTTATCATTTTTAAACAATTTCACTTAGTTAGCCATGGAAACAAGTTCAATCGCCGTTGCTCTCATAAATGCGAAGCTGTCACATCCAAACTTTGTAAATTAAAATAAACAAAAATTGTAAATATGAATTTTTCAAATGAAGAAAAGCGTGTAGATATGGTGTTGATACTCGCGCATGAATAGAGTGGTTCCAACAAAACTTTCATTAAAAAATAACTACTATTTTAGTATTTTAACCATTTTAATAAACGCAAAATAATACAGCATTTATACGGCGAAGAGAAATTTGGAAGAACTAATAATGCACTGACGCATTAAAAATCAAACGAATACCAAATTTCATTTATCAAAAGCATTCGATAGTCGTGGCTCAACGATAACCATTTAGTCGCACGGCGAGGTTGTCACATATGCTTTAGTATACAAATGAATGAATGATTTATTCGAATAAAAACTATTCGATAGTTGAAATCATTCATTCATTAACCATTCGATAGTTCAATTCATCGATAGTTCCCATCGCTAGTAAGCAAACATAAATAACTCGGTTATTTCGAGATTTCCTGGAAATCTAGCAGCCCTGAAAATATTTAATTCGTATTTAAAACTCACTTGTAACTCCAAAAAATAATCTACTATTATTCGATTAATTCCGGTATTATTACAGACTTTCTTTTTTTTTCTTTTTCATTATCAGGCCTGTACGTAGTTTTAGTAATCAATCATTTTTATAAATGTAAATTTCTATTTTTTATTGCTTATTGCATAACCTATCATGTATTTTTATTGTATTAAAAAATAATATAAATTATTCTGAAAGCTTGACATTTGGAACAATAATTTGTATCCAATAAGGCTCACTACAAAATACTTAATTATTTTTCTGTTTAGTTAGTTGGTCAAGACTAAATTTTGAAATATATTCTTAATAGATAGCAAAAAACACAAGTACATAATCTTTACATATGTATATATCATCTGATATGTACGTATATGTACTTACACGGTCTCTGCTTACCGAAACGTCGTAGTAGTTATTATCTCCTCTAACTCCTCTAGAAGATAACACGTGATGTAGGGATTCCGAGAGAGATTCTTTGAAGGCTACTTTGTAGTCTGTCTTGAATACAGCAGCGCATATACCAACTGTCAGTTCCATGATGAAGATGGCGACTAGGAGGCCAGCAAACTGAAAAAAAAACAAAATTTTAGCATTGAATTTTCGAGAGACCCAAGAAAGATTGTGTAAATCTTGGACAATTGAGGATATAGTCCTGATCATTTTATTTATTAACCAAAAATATACGGTTCATATCAAATAAACTTTCAGTTACGTCATCGAGGGCGCGATTTATATTTATTTATTTTAAATTAATTGTTGCCAACCATGAACATATTCGGCGCCGTGCTGACTGTGGACTTTAAATTTCCCACTGTGGATTCAGGTGACAGTTCTGCTGTAAAAAATGTCAAGAATGTCAAGTTGCCGCATTTATTTATTTCCTGACATTGTCATTCATTTTGACACTTTAGTATTTTACATTATGAGCTTTTAGTTTAAATAGTGTTGTGATACTTTAAGCTTAAAAAGGTTTACTAGCAGACCTGGCAGTCGAACATTGTTCTTTTTAGAACCTCTTTTAGTACGAAGTGTACAATATATCTTAATACCGTAAAAAACTCATCGCAATTTTATTAGAATATTTTGAACGGGAAAGCGGTAGAATGTAGAATGTTTAGGAGGGGAGTTAATCACCGCGACCTTATAGATCTATTGTGTGTTCCCCTTTCTTGAGTTATAACGAGTTATAACTCATCATACAGTCTCAGGGCTTTAACAAAACCAGTATCTGAGACGGCTCCACAGAGGCCAGCTCTCCATCCTCGACATCAGACGTACCAAGGTTCATGGCACGAATGGTTGTCGTCTCGGCGCACTCAGTGATAAGGTGTTCTGGTGTTTCCCCATTTTCCCCACAAAATCTGCATTCGCCGTTGTTTCTCAGTTTCAGCCTACTGAGGTGTTCGTTGAGGAGAAAGTGTCCTGTTAGAAACCCCGTGACAATCCAAAGATTGTTTTTACTTAAATCAAGGAAAACCTTTGATTTTTCTCGGTCGTAAGTTCTGAGGAACTTTTTCGAGTGTCTTAGACCGTTGGAGGACACCCATTCTATATTACGGATGGAGTCTTCCAGATTCTTCAGTTCCGCTTTCAGTTGGTTCCCGTTAGGAAAACAGAACGGTTCTGGTCCAGTTAGTGGAGTGTTCGCTTCTTTTCTAGCTAGATCATTTGCTTTTTCATTGCCTTCTATCCCTTGGTGAGCAGGCACCCAAACTACACCGACTTTATTTTCTTTGCCTAATTTGTTAAGCTTCTCTAGGCATTCTTTGGCCAACTTCGAATTGATGGTTACTGAGTTGATCGCGTTAAGTGCTGCTTGACTATCGGATAGGATGGCAATTTCCTGTTTTCGATAGTTTCTATCTAAGATAAATTGTACGCATCTTTCGATAGCGTAAATTTCTGCCTGAAGGATACTGGGGTAGGTGCCCATTAGTTCGGAGTATTTAGTTTTCGGCCCAAATACTCCTATCCCTGTCCCTGCTTTGGTTTTGAAAGCATCAGTATACCAAGTGATGGTATGGTCTTTTATATGCTGAGTAAGCGTTTCTTTCTTCCAATTCTTTTTATTACTCAATACTACAGTGAGGTGTTTCTCAAAGTTGTAAATTATTGGTATGTCATCCACTGGGAGGTGGAGAAGTGGAATTTTATTTTTGAGGGTGTTCCAAGCCCCCGACCTGAAAATTCTCCCAGTACTGTTTCCGTCAATGACCATTCTAATCATTGTCGCATTGGCATAACTGCCGACGACGATGTGCAGTGGTGTTAGGTCTAGAATGACCTCCATTGCTGCTGTTGGACATGTTCTCATGGCACCTGTGATGCAGATACATGCCAGTTTCTGTACTTTGCACAGGTTTTGCCTTGCTGTACGTTGCTCTAGTTTTGTATACCAAGCAACTGCTCCATAAGTAATCATGGGTCTTACTGTCATGGTATACATCCAGCGCAAAATGTTAGGGACGCAGCCCCACCTATTTCCCGCCAGTCTTCTGCATAAAATATCTGTTGGTAATTTACATATTTAGTTTTGAGCCATTTCTGGCTCCAATTCAATCAGCAATCGACACGAAAGAGAATTAAAAAATATTGACTCAAAACTGACAACTGAAGAGACAGCTTTATTTATTTGTCAAATTACATAGAAACCAACGCCAATCCAGAACAATATTTTTTCTACTCGTAATAAATTCCTTGAAATAATAATTTCTGAATATTTTTTAAAACGTAACTCGCTATGGGAAAAAATATTGTTTTATACACGACGATAAAACTTCATTATCGTCTCCCGAAATTAATTCACTCTTTCATAACTTTATATCTTCTTTGTTAACAAACAAAACAAGCTTTTTACAGATGACTTATTGGTGATCTAACTAACCTTAACCGAACTTAAAAACTTGGTGTTTTTACTTATTATAAAGCTGTAAAATTCTGGGTCAGTGATTCAATGTTTTTTTTTACTTCGGCAATAGGTCGTACTGTATTGAAACGCGACTTGAAATCAACCGCTTATTTTGTAATTTTATGTTTTATTTTAAAGGTCAAATTTAATGGTTAATTAAATTTGTTTTTATTTTTGTGTCACCGTTGGTGAATGTCGACTGATATACAAATTCTTTCAGCGAAAACATTAATAGGAGTGAGTACTTTTCCCTTTCAGATATCCGGACAGGAGAAAGTCTAATATATGAAATAGAAAAAGGTACTTAATGACTTGTCAGACGTTACTTCAGAGTAATAAAAAATAATAATGCGTTTTTATGCTTGTCTTGTACAGGATGTTCCATATTTGCTACTTTATCGTTCGGAAATATGAGGTAAGCGATACCAATTAAACTTTTAGTGACGTAATTAAGGGCGCGATTTTTAA